CTCCCTTGGTAGAGAGCCAGTGCAAGGGTTCTCCCTGGGCGCTCAGGCCTCTCTCCTTGGGTCTGCATGTTGGTCTTAATAATCTGTACTCCGTAAGTTGGTTATGGTGCTCGACTTTGCACCGAGTCCTTTACTTATGTACGCGATGCTGATAGTGGGATTTCTGTAGACTCTGAACTATTTGGTAATTACGACAATATAATAAGTTAGAAAATAACAGAGATGTCCAAATTCCTCTCTGTCACCATTGGCATAATAGGACGGGTACTTTGACTTCTGGATTTTCCGGTGAACCACTTACGACCGAAAGCAGTCTCTGGGACCTGGCTATACGTTGGGATATCAGATCCCGTAGGCACTGGGGCTGGAGATTGAGTCAAAGTTGCCATGGTTTATACAGGATATTGGAAGAAGATATATAAATAGAATATATCACAGCGAGTTGGAGTAAAAGGATCTTGTTATAGAGACAATAACGTGCATTGGATTGCACTATATCAGACAGATAGGTGTTTTATTAAGATCGCGATATCCTTGGTTTTGAAACAGCCGCTAATACCTACACGGTCATGTTTGTGGATTTTAAGCTTGAATGGTCGTCTTGGCATTGTGGTCACAGCGGCAAAAGGGGGAGATATCGCGCTCAAGTGTCTTTCTGTCAACGGTATTTTCTGCATAGAGTAACTACTCCATACTCTGTTATAGAACGACCAGTGCATTTCTTTTTCCGTGAGTTTGGCGATGTTTAGTTTGGCAATACGCCGCATAACCTTCACTTTATATGCATATAAAGTCGAAGTGCCTCGAACTGCTCGACTTTCATCCTCCGTCGCCTCACCATCCACCCCATTCGCCTAGACATTTGAGATCCTAGATTGAGTCTAAAAGCATACATATTTCCGAGTACAATGCTCCTCACATGCTCCTACCGAAAGCTAGTAAATTTGGCAAGCGCCTGGGAATTTGGCCACCAGAATATCTTCTATATTATAATATCAGAATCTTGACATTCAATAAGTTGCTTCTGAGGCTATAATATACCACACTCAAGGTTTTCTGGAAGATTGATCCTGGCCCATACTTCAAGACTGCTCTCGGTCTTCCGAGGATTCGCCATCTGATTCTTCAGATAACTTGCAAGATAAAGCAGCCATGCTTCCTTCCCCGTCCAATACCCGCGCTGGATCCATAGCACTTTGATATGCTCCAGAGTTTGCAAGACTGTAGCCCCCCTCCCTCCAAGTCATAGGGCCAGTACTGGCACCTTTATCCCATGACCACCGAAACTAAGAGCCTAGTCAGCGGAGTCCGGCTATAATGACCCTAATAAGACGCTCAAACACTGCGTAATTCTTGCCCCTAACTGCTAGATAGAGTGGCATCTGACCATTCGGGTTCGCTCTATGATCCAGTAAAAAGGTGAATACGAGCTGAAGCCTACCAGCTTCTTGACGCAGCATGGGCTCTTGTGCATTGCCCATGGGGATCCTCAAGCGAATATGAAATAGATCATTTTCCAGTTGTTTGTTTAAACTACAATTCGCAGTGGTCGCTTGCCATCTTCATAGACATATTCCAGATCCACCGCTTTCACCACGTTGACTCGATCATATTTAATCGCTTCCGCTAGTGTAGCTTGGTAGTTACCATCCTATATTGTGCATTGTAGAGTTTACTCTGTGCTATTATTTCCATACAGAGCTAGTTCCTTTTCTTTTTCCTATAATATTTCTATAATACCGCGAATATATATCCTGGCTTAAACGGTCACCCCTTTTGGTGTTCCCTTTTGGTGTTTAAAACCGTCGATTGCTCTGTGAATACTTCGCCTCTCCCCCACTCTGATACGGTGGGCTGACATCCGGTGGGATAGAATATTGTACTTGTTCATATCCACAGGATAGCCCTTCACATCACCTCTAGGAAGCAACAGTGATAATATGCCACAGTTTCAATGTCAGGTCCCGGGCTGCACTTCGATGTCATATTTGTCGCAATCATGAAGTTCCCGGACGATCTCTCGCTCGCCCCATACAGGCCTGTATGATATGAGGTGTCGGATGATTAAAGCACGGTTCCAAGGAGGCTTGCCATGTACAGTATAGAGTGTTCTTTGAAGCGAGGCATGTGTATCTTTGATGGTCCAGTGCGCCCCGATATCGAGGTCGCTCGACCAGATTCCGAAGAGGAACCCTGGGAGTACGGGTGGTGAAGATGATTTGATCAATACCTTCCACTACCTTCCTCGAGAATTCCACCCAAGTATAGAAGAGGTTTGAAGGGCTAGATCCGAGCTGATCTCACTTCGAGAGACAATTGTGGCAAAGCCATCGGCCACCGCACTAAAATCGTGGGTTGCATTTTGGTATGGAAGGAAGAACCGTACATTAGCCTACTGCCTTCTGTCGTGGTAATTGAAACCATGTGCGGAAGGCGCGGTGTCCCCACGTGCCGCACGAGTATAAACCCCCCCTCCCCCCCCTCTCCCCCTCTCCCTCTCCCCTTCACCCTTCCCAACTCCTACTTGACATGCGTTTCTGCATTCTCTCCCGTGCGTGGTATGAGTTCCAAACGTGTTGTTCGGTGCAGATTGTATGAGGCGTTGTGATATACCGTTCCTTGGATCTGATATATTATCGGACCTTGTATACATCGACCTCCCGATGATTTTTGTACCCCGCTGTATTCATAGGACATCATGTGAAAGAAAAAAGTCGGTCACAAACAAGGACATATCTCAGCTCGTAGATTTAAATGCTGTACAAGAACCTGGGGTTTCGATCGCCCATTTCTTGGATAGCCTGCTCTGAGAGCGATGATATTTTGTCGTCCTCCAATCCCTGGGCCCTGCGTTTGTTGATAACCCGGTAGGAAACCCACATGACACCATATACAACCCCCGCAAATCCCACCATTGCCAGAGTGACAGCGTTCCCACGGACGAAGCGCGGGCCTTCCGAATTAGGATACAAGAAAGGGGACATAACTCCGCTGATGTTGCCAAAGGTAAGCTGCAAGCCAGTTGCGTAGGTGCGTTTTGCGTATCGGGGCAGATTGGTAGGCAACCAGGCGAGAGGTAAGCCGACAGCAACGTAAAGTCCCAGGGCGACCATCAAGGCACCAAAGTAATGAACACCCGAGGACGAGTCCGAAATCAAGATTCCATAGCCAACGACTGAGATAGCGCAGAAGAGACATATGAAAAATGCACGGTGTTGGGTGCGATCGCTCAACCAGGCAACGCACAGATAGGCAAAGGCACCCAGTGCATAGCAAGGGATTGTCAATGCCTGGACCTCGGCGGTGGTCCAATTTCCCATGCCTTTGATAATAGTAGGAAGGAAGGTACTATATCCATAGAGCATGGTATCAATACCAAACTGGCCAATGGAGAACGCCCAGATCTTCCAGTCTAAGACACCCTCTTTTACATCCGCCCAGTGAAACTTCTGTGCAGACTCTGTTTGGCCGATATAACGACTCCGGCGAAGGGTAACAAGCGCTCGCTCCTCTTTGTTTAGATAATAAGCTGTGTCCGGGTCATCTGCCAAGGCGAACCAAGTCACCACACCAAGTAAAACTGTCGGAATCCCCTCGATGATCATGATCCAACGCCAGCCGCGAAGTCCACAGATGCCGTCCATAAACCCAATACCATAAGCCAGTAACCCGCCAAAGGCTCCCGCAATAGCTGCACTGCTAAAGAGGTAGCTTGTTCGCAAGGCAATCTCACGTTTGCTATAGAAGAGAGTGAGGTAGGTGATAAAGCCCGGGAAAAGACCTGCTTCTACGACTCCGAGTAGGATCCGACAGGCAACCAAGTCACCATAATCCCGAGTGATTCCTGTGAGGGTTGCAATGATACCCCACAAAATTGAGATCGTGGCAATATACCGAGACGGCCGTAGTTTCTTGAGTACGAGATTCGAAGGGACCTCAAAGAACTGAACGTGAGGATTAGCGTCCGTGCGGTGACTGAATTGCGTGATATACATACACAGTAGGTCACAAAAAGGATAGACACCGAGACTTGGTACTGGTTGCCAACAAGCCCCAAGTCCTCTTCCAGGCCGTACAATCGTGCATTTCCAATGTTGACTGCATATTCAAGTCAGCCAATGTTCTTGATTCCGAGTTGGCACAAGCCAGTTGCAATCACAAAGGGATGAGTCAGGCATCCCACCCCCACGTACCTCGGTCTAGGAAACTGAAGAGATACAACAACACCACGATAGGAAGGATATGCAGGTCAATCTTCCTGATCAGAGTTTTCTCGATCTGTTCTTCATCAAGAGTTGGCCCTAAGCTGATTTCATCGGCTGGGCCGAGGTCAGGCTCAGCATGGCCCATGGTGCGAAAGATCAGGTAGAAACAATGATAGTGGAATGGACTCGGCCCCTGGGCCTAGGTGTTTCCCCCGAGGTCACTTCAATTATGTTCCAAGGTTAAGAAAATGTCAGGCCGAAAGCGAGAAAGAATCAAAGTTGCCAAGCGCCAAGAGGTCGGGTAACCCTTGCAGCCGATTGATAAGAGAAACCTACGGAGTATGTAACTGTGTTATACTTTTTCTTATTTCTTCGGATTTTGTTTGCAAGTCGCATCATAATTTGAAATGTAGATATTAAACTAATTACCAATGTACCTGCGTAGTCCTGGTTAGGTAGTCCTGAGTATATAACTTCCTAGTTCGTTGACTAGTTACCTCGAGATTCGCATATGCTGACGTAATATATAAGGCGCCTGAGGTCTAACATGGATGCATGAGAGCGTGATATTGTCAATACAAGTCAAGTCCGATATGGCAAGCCCTATTAGATCTATTAATAGGACTTAGAGCAACCATAGGACATGTATCTAGCTGTAGTAAATTGTTGTGGTTGTCACGTGCCGATCACATGCTGATGTCTGGTTTGTCAGGCTTCACCTAGCTAAATAGCTAGATCTCGATCGTTGTAGGGAATGTAACCTTCTACATATCCCTCACCGCTCAAAGAGATCTTATGCGAGTGGCTGAGAAGCACCCGGACCTTCCTTCTGGGTCTCTTGTCCTCGAAGATCTTCCAGACGTCGTTGGGCCTGTCGAACTCACCACGGACAAAATCAGGACTGTGCCGCATGATCTCTTCGAGGAGGGCGTTTAAAGCCCGTTGAAGGTATGATTGTTCATTCTAACTGAAGGCCAAATTTGACGACCTGAAACTCCAAGCGGAACAGAAAATTCCCTCGAAGGCTCTGGGTGATTTAAACCTGGAGGAGGTCGAGAGTATCTTTGAGATCCAGCCGCTTCCATCGGAGAATGAGGAGCTGGGAGATGAGTGGGACTTACGACCCATTCTCCGAGAGGAGTTCCAAATCCCAGCTGCCTTTGACGAATTCTACGATTTCCTCAGTAAGTACTGTGTCCTTATGGTTTCCAAGTTTCACTCACTCATCTATGAAAACAGTGAAATCCTTTGAATACCTGGACGTTGCCTAAGGAAAGTCCACCCGAAACGAGGCATATATACGCTCTCGCTTGGATATGATCCTTAACTTTGTGCTCGGCTTTATAAAGAAGGAGGGAAGCTTACTCGCCAGAAAAGAGCTATCGTAGGGATACGAGACTCACTTTTCCTATACAATAGATATAGCGGGAGTTGCAACATTTCTTTGCTACCTTGCTATCTTGCTACTATGCTTGGCTTATGGAACTTATAACATACCTACCAAAAGTGAAACCAAAATCATGATACTGTAGCTCTTATGATATAATGCAAAAATCCCTCGTCTGGCAGCATGGGGTGCCGAGGCTTTGAAGTACCTTCGTGGCTGCTCCTTATAACGAGGAGAAGACACTAAGTTTTGTATGATCATATTTTGAGTATATCGCCTATATACAATTAAAGACGTTTTGGTTGACATGTCCTATTTTGAATATTCTAATAGGGTTGGGGGATCGGGTCGGCCGGGAATTACGTTAACAACTCGGAGTACCTACCTGTAGTGTGCCTCTTCTTGGAAGTATCAAAGTCTACATGTACCCTAGACAGCAAAATATGAAGGTCAGCAGATCAGGATCGACCGGCCTAGCCTGCTTACCTAATGGCAAATCCCGCTGTCATTTTTGCCTATTTGTGGCTATTATTTGCTGCAGAAAGAGGAACTATCACTTTCTGATTCCTTCTGCACCATATTCAATTTGGATTGATATCTGCCATGAACGGGACTTTTTCCCCCGGCGATTCTGTTCCCCCCGCAATGCACTGCTGACGGACACACAATCTCTTATGACTTCACTTCTCACTATGAGAAATCCTTCACGTCCACGCGTTTTACAGAGCTTCACAATCAACTTCTGAATCTTGCTATTTGAAGGTTTGTTTTTCTTTCTCCACCATAGGGAGATCTAGAATAACGGCATCCTGGGTCTCGAACAATCAAAATCCATCAAAATCAAAAAGTACCGCTTCAAGTGGACCAATGGCGGACTTAGTCATTCCTTCCTTTGGGAGGCTAGTTGCATCCAAAACTCTTGATGGCCATACTGGCTTCGTTTGGGATGTGGCTCTTTCCGGCAATGGTCAAATCCTCGCCTCAATTTCCAATGACATGATGATCCGTCTATGGAACGCCAACACCGGTCTCCAGCGCGGCGCCGCAAGAAACAACGGCCATTCCACGTGGGTGCGCTCTGTGAGGTTTTCCCCCGCAGGTCGATTCTTAGCCACTGCTTCCGATGATATGACCATTCGTATCAGCGACGTGAACACCGGGTTTACCTACCGCATGCTGCAGGGTCACACTGGCAAAGTTCGAGCGGTGGAATTTTCCCCCGACGGCAAAACTCTCGCTTCAGCCTCAGATGATTTCACTGTGCGACTGTGGAATGCAGGCTTAGGTTCGCTGGTCAAAACCCTCAATGGGCACTCGGGCTGGGTGCGCGCTGTGGCCTTTTCGCCTGACGGCAAGACTGTCGCTTCAACCTCGGACGATAATACAATTCGTCTCTGGGACACAACCACCGGCAAAGAAATCCATCGATTAAATGGCCATGAATCCTCAACCAGGGCCGTCTGCTTCTCTCCTGATGGGAAGCTGCTAGCGTCGGGTTCGCAGGACAAGGACCTGCGCATCTGGGATACGAATTCTGGCGCCATGCTCAACGTCCTCCGGGGACACTCTGGACCTCTGCGCGTGATCGCATTTTCTAGCGATGGGAACCTGGTGGCATCAGCGGCCGATGACCTGACAATCCGCGTATGGGCTGTGCCATTAGGGTTTACCTGCGTCCGAATATTAACGGGCTACTCCGGATGGGTTCGAGCTATTACTTTGTCGCGCGATGAAAACGTAGTAGCTTACACGTCTGATGACATGACTATCAAGATTTGGATTTCGGCGTGATTTTCTGTCGTGGAAGGAAGATCCTTCTCGTTGATGCGCGCTTTGTGTTGAATTTCTTTTTATCTGAGATACCCACCAATGTTCTTGATTCTTCAGCTCGCATGCAATTTCTTGCGATTAGCAATCAACTTATTTTCAAGTGATGAAAAGCCGGAACCAAAACCCGTCTCCTTTACCTCGTTTGAACAGTTGGGTCGAAGTCGCTAGAGGCAACCAAGATCTTCCACTCTGCTCAAGAACACTACATCAGGTTTTCAAGTCCACAAGTCTACTTATATAAAATGGCAGATACGCAAACTTGTTGGGTGCTTCGCAGATCCCTACCTGTTCCCAGTGTCTGCATTGATATGACTCACTCGGAATATTTTCCAGGAGTCAATGGGACAGCATGTGTTGCTACTATCCCAATCGCAAATGCTTTTTGGCCTAGTAATCTGCTGATTTCCATCGAAATTTCTGACTCAATTCGATGGAATGTGCCCTTCAACACTTATATCCTGCAGTACATATCTTTACTTGGACTGAAACCATGGGCCCATCAATTTCAAATGACAATCCTCACCAAGTCTACGATGAAGTTCATAAACGCGCAATCACGGAAAATGCCTTCCAGGAGAAGGCTGAGATACAAGAAACTCACCAGTCCTTGACCATTGATTTTGAGGAGGACGACCCCGGAAACCCACTAAACTGGCCCAGATCAAAGAAATGGATTATGACAACTGTTGTGTCCCTTTCAGTGTTTCTAATGCCACTGTCTTCGTCAATTGTCGCACCCGAGTTGAGCACCATCAAAGGCGAACTGCACATGAGCAGCTCACTAGAAGCAGTCCTGGTCCTCTCGACCTTCGTCCTGACCTACTGTCTCAGCCCTCTGATACTAGGCCCACTGAGTGAGATATTTGGAAGAGCCACAGTTTTGCACTCGGGAAATTCATTCTATTTGATCTTCAACCTGGTGTGTGGGTTCGCTCGGAATAAAGGCGAACTACTCGCTTCTCGTCTGCTCAGTGGCGTTGGAGGCGCGGGTGGACTTGTTGTGAGTATGCCCCTCTTCTGCGACTAGATTTTGTTCTAATGCGCCAAATATAGGTGGGCGCGGGTATCATCAGTGACTGCTTTTCCAAAGAAGAGCGCGGCTGGGTCATTGCCATCTACAATCTCGGGCCTGTCTTTGGACCTTCTCTGGGAGCTGTCATTGGTGGATTTACTACTCAATACACGACATGGCGCTGGACGTTCTGGGCGACATCTATCTTCGACGGGGCTTTGATCGTGGTTGGTTTGCTTGTTATGGAGGAGACATATCCACCTGTCATCCTCGCGAAGAGAAAGGCGAAGATGCTGAAAACGGCCGTGACAAACACTCCTCTATTGAAGACACCTTATGAGAAACCAGACCAGAGTCTCGGCCAGTTATACCGCAACTCTCTTCTCCGACCCCTGCAGCTCCTCAGAGTCCAGCCCATCGTCCAGATCCTAGCCATCTTCTACGCCTATCTATACGGTCTAATGTACTTGGTACTCTCGACCTTCACAACTCTTTGGGAAGAGAAATACCACCAGCCCGTCGGTCCAGCTAGTCTAAACTACCTCGCGCTGGGAATCGGATATTTGCTTGGTTCACAGATATGCGGATTTCTTGCGGACCCAATCTACAGAGCCCTGAAGAAGAAGCATGGCGGAAATGGCAAACCAGAATTTAGAGCAGTTCTCATGTTCCCTGCCTCGATTCTCGCCCCGGTCGGTCTGCTGTGGTACGGATGGGGAGCGCAGGCGGTCACGCATTGGATTGTGCCTGATCTTGGAATCGGGCTGTTTGCCTGCGCTGCGATGATTCTGTTCCAATGTACCAGTGCATATCTGTATGAAGCTTTTACTTTGTATGCGGCTAGTGCGACGGGTGCTGTTTACATTCTTCGTGGATTGACGGGGTTTGGATTTCCTCTTTTCGGACCGAGGATGTATCAGTCGTTGGGTTATGGGTGGGGTTCTACTATGCTTGCTCTTGTTGCTATTATTATGGGATGTCCGGTGCCTGTTGTTCTCTGGAGGTATGGTGAGCGACTTAGAGCTCGGAGTAGTTATGCTATTGGGTAAAGTATGGATGACTCAAAAGCAATAATTCACTTGACTTTCCACGCATTATGGAAGTAGGATGACTTCATAAAACGGGCGCAACGCATGAAGCTAAAATCAAGCTATGTAACCTCGGTTCAATTCTCCTCCGCATTACCGGGGGTATAGCTTTCCCCCCAGCTTTGGACTTGGATTCTCTAACCTTCCAACTATCGATTGCAACGATTTGCAATGTCTGATAACTACGGCAGCTACCAAACGGAAATCTACGGCAAGGGTGCCTTAATGAGCATCATGCCCGGTGTAACAACCGACCCCAACAAGCTAGAGGGGCAAGCTCGACAATTTCTGGGCGTTCGCGCATTCAATTATGTCGCTGGCGGCGCAGGCGAGAAAGCGACGATGGACAGCAACCGGCTGGCATTCCGGCAGTGGAAGCTGTAGGTTTGTAGATGTTTATTACAGTATTCGAACACTAACGGATGAGATCGATAGAATCCCACGGATGATGCGAAATGTGAGTTGCGGCAATCTACAATAAACTACTATTACGTTCTCGCTAACGGGTGACATACCCAGACACCGGAGCAAGACGTCTCGGTCGAGCTCTTCGGTCAGAAATACGATAATCCCATTATTGTAGCCCCGGTCGGCGTACAAGGTATTTTCCACGAAGACAAGGAGACAGGCCTTGCAGAAGTATGCGAGGAGGTCGGAGTGCCATATACGATGAGCACGGCAAGCACGAGCTCGATTGAAGATGTAGCGACCGCCAACAAGGACGGGAAGCGATGGTATCAGCTGTACTGGCCGAAGGATAATGATATTACGCTGTCGCTGCTAAAGCGGGCGAAGGAGAACGGGTTCTCGGTTCTTGTGGTTACCTTGGATACCTGGTCGCTGGCGTGGCGACCGGCGGATTTGGATAACGCCTATGTGCCCTTTATCAAGGGGGTGGGGAACCAGGTTGGGTTCAGCGATCCTGTTTTCCGCGCAAAGTTCGAGAAAGAAACTGGATCAAAGGTTGAAGAGGATATCATTGGTGCTTCGCGCGCGTGGATCGGTGATATTTTCGCTGGGAGTCCGCATTCGTGGGAGGATTTGGCTTTCTTGCAGAAGAATTGGGATGGACCGATTGTGTTGAAGGGAATTCAGCACGTGGAGGACGCGAAACTAGCGCTGAAATATGGGTGTGATGGCATTGTGGTATCAAATCATGGTGGTAAGTCCCTTGATTAGCTTTTTACATGTTCTTCCTCTGAACTTTTGTCCAGGCCGTCAAGTGGATGGTGCTATCGGGTCTCTGGACGTTCTTCCAGAGATAGTCGATGCAGTCGGGGACAAGATGACGGTACTTTTCGACTCCGGGATTCGGACAGGTTCGGATGTGATTAAGGCACTGTGCTTAGGAGCCAAAGCAGTTCTCGTTGGTCGACCGGTGATTTACGGACTGAGCATTCAGGGCCGAGACGGGGCTAGACAGGTGCTAAAGGGTCTTTTGGCTGATTTGTGGCAGAACATGGGCCTATCGGGTATTCGGAGGGTGAAAGATTGCGACCGGAGTCAGATTCGCAAGGTGCAATACGGAGAGGTGAAAGCGATGATGTAGAGGGAATCAGACCTGGAACGTGTATAGAAATCTTGGACGTCGATCACATGTGAAGGGCCCATCCTCGAATCTCGATTGTTGGGGTACCAACTGGCTTACGCCTACACGGACAGCCTTGAAAGGCCACTGTAAATGTAAAATTTCCATGGCTTGAATATTCTCATTCTTGATATGTTTACAAAATCCAATGACCGGGGAAAACCTGATATCGAGACGAACCTCGACTATGCGCACGCTCACATTCCAGCCTCAGGATCAACTCTGCTCCCGCGACCAGTCGCGTCGTTGATATCTTTGATTACACAATCAACCTCGCTATCGTTGCGACTAGGTACATTCTTTGGCGGGGTAGCCCTGGATGGCGCGCGAGCTACGACTTTGACCAGCTTAGAACTAAGCCGGGCTTTGGTCGAGGGGATCTTGACGAGGGCAGGAAGAGATGTCGCCATTCGTAGTGGCGATGAACACGGTAGGACAGAAGCCGAGTCTCTCCTCGAGCGAAGTGTATGTTCCTAAATCCTCCAAGGCTGTCGACTTAGTCTTGACTAACACCCTCCTAGTTGGCGACGCTCCACACGACCGTGACCTCGGCATCTTTCTTCGCGGCGGCGACATTTCATTTCTCGTCCACCACCTTGTCTTCGGTTGCAAATCTCTCGCAGGCACTTCTGTCTACTCTGGATGCCATTCTTGGGTCCACCGAGTCTTCGAGGGCCATTGCGGCCATTATCACGCTGATTCGGCGTGAGTTTAGATCCGTTGAGCCCGGCGCAAGTACTACCGAGAATATTGGTGTCGGAGACCTCCTCATTGGCTCCCTAGGCTTCGCGCTATTGCAGCGTTGGGGCAGAAAGAATACCGAAAGACATCTCCGGCAGAATGGCGGGGATGAAATTGTTTGGGATGTTGTCATCCTAGACAACGGCGCACGAGCAGACGTGATCGGATCCCATCAGCTGCAATTCCCCGAGCGCAATAATGAAGAGCTGGTAGAGCCTGACAGTGCTTCCTTTGTGATGCCTGGAAATGGCGAGAAAGCATTTGATGTAATTCGACGGTCGAGCGTGTCTGATTCGGTTGGACATCGTCTCTCTATTCCGTTGGGTGGCCAGCAGCAAGTGTCCGACGAGGATATTCGCGCTTATATTATGAGCCAACTTCCTCAGGGCTGTCACGCATCTATCAAGTCGGAAACTCTGACGGCGCGAACTATCACAGTCGATATCTACGATGATAATATGGCAGAGATTGCCGCCCCGCCTGGAACGAAACTGATAGAGGAGAGATTCCACCATGATCATGATTATGAGGATACCAATACGTCCGATCGTCAGCGACGGTGTCCCAAGCATACAGTGGTGTTTAGGACAGCCTTCAACAAATCCCAGAGCACTCAACTGCGATCCCACGACGGCTCTGGAAATTTTGCCCTACCTGAGTCTGATCATCATAAACGAGCATTGCCGGGAAGCTCATTGACTAATAGTCCAATGAAGTCTCATCATGGTCCGTCACGTTCCCATCTGGATACCACGCAGAGCATTGCCCCCAAGCCGCGTGGGACAACTCCCGCCTTGCCGAATGAACATCCCAAGCCTGCACTTACCAAAGGCTCATTCGCGAAATTTGCACAAAAGGTTAAGCCAGCTGTTCTTGAAAAAAATGAGGCCAAACGGCCACAGGGAAAGAAGCCATCTATAGACTCATCTGCGCCCTCGGGCATTCCAAGTCTTCGTCTACCTCCTAAGCCTACAAAAGGAACAGCGTCTGTGAAGGAAGCGACGGCGCGAGAGGTCTCTAGCAGACCTGATCTCAAGAAGAGACAAACTGAACCTCTGAACTATCGACCGACAACCCCTGTCCCGAACCGGGGTTTACGAAGGTCCCCCTTCCCAAACTCCCCCCAAAGACAATCGTCAGAGTCGCCAACGAAACACGCCCTATCTCACGAAATGCACGCCTCTGGAGGCTCACGAGGGGGCCATTTTACGGTGCGAGAGAACAGCCACGAGTCGCTCCTCACTCAAACCGACACATTTCTTTCACGCCGTAGTGCTGGTATGCGTTCTGGATCGCCTGCCGCGGTCCAGACTCACGTTCGCAGCAGCAGCTCTATGTCCATAACAAGATCAGAAGCAGACGGGACTTTATCTGCGAATGATAACCGCCCCGGATCGTCAGCTATGCACCGCAGATCCCAATCATACACCCCCAGCCTGTACTCCCTAGCGACTGCAGGGTCTGAGACGTCACTGCTGCTTGCGCACCGGCCTCGCAAAAGTGCATATGAAGACATGAAAACCATACAGGCACTCAATCGCGATGGCTTTGTTCCAGGTATATTTCCAGAGAGACACTTCGTGCAAAACATTCGCCGGTTCTCCCGGTTCTCCTCTGCTTCATACGGCTCGAATGCGCTCACGGTCATGGGTGTTCCTAGTGGCTCGAAGAATATACCTAGTACCAAGTCAGACAGCCACGAGCATAGTGCATTCTCAGAGAATGCAGGCCTTCCACCCTCTACGATCCTCCTATCTTCATTCGTCGATCCAGCCGGTGGCTCGAATGCAGCTGGTGAGACAGAGACAGGCTTCCCATTGGTCCACTATCTTTCTATCGACCATGACTCCAAAGCCGTGGTTCTGACTTTACGAGGAACATGGGGCTTCGAGGACATCCTCACAGACATGACCTGCGATTACGATGACCTCGAATGGCAGGGTAAAAGCTGGAAGGTGCATAAAGGCATGCACAGCTCAGCCAAGCGGCTCCTAGAGGGTGGCGGTGGCCGAGTCATGATCACCCTCCGTGCGGCACTAGAAGAATTCCAAGATTACGGTATAGTTCTATGCGGGCACTCGCTCGGTGGAGGAGTTGCAGCCCTTCTCGCAACGATGATTTCAGAACCCAACCCCTCCACAACAGGCACATCCTTCGTAACAGCCTCATACCAACCCGCTGCCCGTCCCCGCTTCTTGACTGCCGATAGTAATCCCAGCATCCCGAACCCCAGCCTACCAACCTACACCATCCCAGCAAACCGGCCAATCCATGTCTATGCCTATGGTCCCCCAGCCGTGATGTCCCCCTTCCTCCGGCTTGCCACGCGAGGCCTAATAACAACAATCGTCAATGGCTCCGACATAGTCCCCAGCCTGTCGCTAGGCATCCTGCACGACATGCACACAGCGTCACTGTCCTTCAAAGACGATGCCACAGGCGCCAAAGCGCACATCCGCCAACGGGTCAGCGATTCTCTCCGCCAAAGCATCATACACAAATTCTACGTCAACCAGCCTCCGCTGGTCGTCAACGCGGGCGATGGCGTGGGTGAAGACGCTTGGGCTTGGAAAACGCTAAAACTACTCCGGGATGAGATGCGTGCGCCGAAACTCATGCCGCCCGGTGAGGTTTTTGTCGTTGAGACGATGCGAGTTCTGCAGCGGGATGCGTTTACGGCGCCGGAGCTCGGCGTCGATGGGTATCCGCGTCTTGGGAGGCCTGCGACTCGCGTGCAGATTCGGTTTATTCGAGATGTTGATGCTTGGTTTGGTGAGTTGCGCTTTGCTGGTGGCATGTTGAGTGATCATAATCCTGCTCGGTATGAGACTAGTCTTGCTGCGTTGGTGAGGGGAGTTTTGGATGAGTAGAGCTTGAGGATTCTAGTATCCATGGGTTTTTATGTTCTATTCTCATTTGGGTTGATGGAAAGTTGGATGTTGGTCAGATATATTCTCCTCTTTCTTTGGTTATTTGGGATTATAAGGTTATGTTGGTAATGATTTGATGATATATAGGGCATAGATAGACAAGAATGATCATCTATAAGTTAAAAATTAACAATTACCTTGGAATTGTGAGGCTCAGCCATTCTTCCTGATTTGAGTAGTAGCCGTCTTACCATCCCACCATTATCATACCTAGAAAGGTATGGGGGCGGTAAGACGCAGTTGATGGACCATCGATTTATGGTTAACAAAGAACAATGCTGTAGGCACTATGAAAGCGGCTACAGGAGAGAATATAAGAGAGGAAATAGGGAAAGAAAAGTAGTTTTGATCATAGAATATACATTGAGAATCGTAAGTTTATAGTGTATAGAACCGACCCATCTAAACCAAATGGGAATCCGATAAATAGAATCAAGACCAAGATCCAGGGTATCACGGCATCACTCGCAACGCCAAACAAAAGAAATCCCCACCTAACAAAAGAAAAAACACCCTCCAAAAAAAGTAAACATGACAAAGAATCAGAAGAATACAGAGAGCAAATCCACAACCACTTATACAACAAGCGCAGTAGGGGCAGGAGGAGGGCCCGGGCGACCAGAGTGGCAGCCACGCTCGTGGCGCTTCATATTGCTGCGGACAGAGAAAGCCTTACCGCAGCCGGCGTGTGTGCAGCGGAAGGGCTTCTCGCCAGTGTGAGAGTGGGAGTGAATGCGCAGGGAAGAAGGGCGCGAGAAAGCCTTGTGGCAGGTACGGCAGATATACCGGTCGTGGTTCTGCTGGTACGGGGCTGAGGTGGAGGGCGGGAAGTAGTGGTGGTGTTGCCAAGCCGGGGTGACGGGGGAGATGAGAGCCGAAGACGAGTGCGAGTGCGAGTGCTGCGTCTGGACAGTGGGCATCTGGGGGGCTGATACTGGCGTCGAGGGCTGGAAAGAGGATGTGGTTGGCGGGCGGGGGTAGTACATTGGCTGTTGAGGAGCGTCGATTGGAGATGTGTACGATGAAACGCTTGGCGCTGGCGAGGCGTAAGGTGCTGTGTTGCGCGGGATGTGGATTGAGCCGTTGCTAGAGATAGAGGAACGGTGTAGGTGATGGTGGTACGCTTCCTTGTGAGAGAGCGACTCTATAGGAGATGCGCGACGGTGAGCGTGACCAGAGCCGGGGCGCAGAGGCGGTGTTGGGGGCAGCTCATATGACTGGACCCGGACGTGACGGTCACCAAGAGATGGTGAGAGACGCTGGCGCTCTGGAAGGTATATTGATTAGCGAATGTGCTTTGAAATTGTAGTATCGTTGAAAGTACTCACTAGCTGCGTGCTGGGCACCATCAGCACCCTCAAAGAGAGATGAGATTGAAGGCAATGAGACCTTACGCTCTTCGGCCGGTGGCGACATTGGCGGCGAGCGCTTATAGTAGCTAGACTCGAGAGGAGTATAGATCGGCTTGACGGCCGTGCTGTGGGAGAGGAGGTTGGCGAGATCCATGATGAAGAAGACTTGTTTGAGAAGTTTGATCCGGCTGCGTTTCAAGGTTGGCTTTATTCAGTGAGTGGGGGATGCCACGAGGTTTATACCAGAAAGCAGGCGGACGGCTTAAGATGATCGCCAGCGGACGATGCCGACTCAGGCAAAATTCCGATTTACGTTACGGCATTTTTAAATTCTTTTTAATTCTGGGATTTTCATAATTGTATTTCCCTTTATTAATTCTTTTTCGATGTGGTCTGCTCCAAAGCTTAATTTAATTGATTTTATTTCTTCATTATGGAGTAAGTTTAATAAAAGGCATTTAAAATTCATTTAAGCGAGATAAACAATTAAAAATAATTCTTTTCGGAGATTAACGTGGGGGGGAATGACGATCCACCCACGCGAAGGCAGAACCCCTAACCTTCCAGCCTTGTGGGATGTGCAGCGCCCTAAACCCAAATTGGGAGGCCGTAAAGACCCCGTTGGAGGATTGCACCTCGGCTTCGGTTAGTGCAGATCCTGCTCGACCTGTCACACATCCCAAGCCACCCCATAAACGGCTGATCGATCAGGGATCTGTTGATCTGCGAGAGCGATGAACGGTTGTATACAGAGTAGACATTGATAATAGCCATTCTCGGTGTTTTGATCTTTGAACTGGGATAATAAATCATAAGATAGGTGCCAAACCCGGGGATGACACGGTTCAGGAGATCATTTTCTCGCGTGGCTATGGAGAAAAACGGCGCGAGCGAAAAGGGAAGGTCACAGAGGGATAGCACTAGTCCATTTTGGGCCACATCTCCGGAACCTTGGAATCATAGTTACGCCTGCGCTGCTTATACGCTGGTCAGGCTACTCCATACATGATATCCATGGATTGACTATGCCCGGCGTGCCGGTACGGAGTACTGTAGATTTAATTTAATATATTAATTACCATCTCAGCTGTGTGATCACCAAGGGCGGCTCTAAGCGCTGGGGGCGAGAGAGAGGAATGCCTGAAACAGTTGCACAATCCATGGCCCTGGGCTCGCTTACACAAACCTTACAGGCACAGTGAGCGGAGTACATACATTGAAGTATGTATGTATATGAGAAAACTTGTTTCCTTCCCACTCTGGTGCATGATACATAGTTAGTTATAGTTACAATAACCCATTTAGTAATTCACTCTCTAGTCTTGGTCCAATAATGGATATATGGTTGGAGAATCGAAAATGGAAAGATCACATCAGCAATTGAAGAGCTCATACGGGAATACTCCGCCTAGAGTCGACCATGCTCCTGAAGATCATTCCTCGAAGCCATGGAACTGAACCATGGCTACCAGCGAAAACGAGTTATTGACACGATCGGCGTTCTGGAACATTACTCCTATTACCATGTTACCTGTGATCATTTCTAGCCGTGCACGGTTTCTGCATAGGAGCGATTGAGGATTGGCCGTTAGGGGGTGGATTCGTCCCGGCCTCGTGGAAGCGACCTCCACTATTTAGCCTTTTACAGAGAGCGAGATCGCCGGTGACCGAGGTACATAATAAATATCCATTACAATACAGACTGTACAAAATAAAGCAGGGAATATAGATCATACATACGTGTGTCCATTCTTATTCATCCTTTCCGTCTACATTCCGTATCTCACTTGGCAATCCACTTAGGCAATAGCATGCTTATATGTGTATCTATTTATTGATCATGTACTATTCTAGAATGGCTCGAGCGTTAGGATCGTCCCGGGCCTACGGATGATCAACCCCCTTGTCGGCACTTGGTACGGATCGCCTATTCTCAAATGAGCCTGGCGCCGGTCTTTGTATTCCGCGGGCATTGATTGGGTCACCCTTGGTTCGGCTCAGGGTAAATGGATATTTGACCTTTCCTATTCAGCTGTCATAAAGTCATGTAAATCATAGTTGGGAGCGTGCCGTATATCAATATAGGGAATACACTTCTAGAGCTCCTGAGAAACTTGACGCGCCGACGGCTTTTTTGCTTTTGGTGCTTTTTCTTTTTGGTCATGAAACCGGGAAAAGTGTGATCCGCTCAAGTCCCATGGGAGCGATTTTACGCTTTGCGCTTACGTTTGGTTTTGTTGATTGGGTTATTTTTCCCCCTCTTCTAATGCCTCTACTCCGTGGGGAGTACTATATCCTACTATATTTATCACGACTCCGTGCACATTCTATTTTTCCAACAATCGATAGTCTGGTCAATCTCACCGAAAGATATCATGTTGAGGGTGATCGAGCTATCCTCTTTAGGTCATAGACCCGGGTAGGTAGCGGATTCAGCCGTGATCGCTGATCGTTTCTTGATCCCGGGGCACTGGGCCCATGCCACGCGACTGTCTCACCCCTTTCTTTCGGGACACACAGGCTTGTCCGGGTCGAGTTAATGGTCGCAAATCAGTGGGGCTGAACATGTCCACGCGAGGAACTTGGATCTTTGCAGATGTGATATATTGTATTCATGCTCTTCACGAGTTATACGTTCAATTTGTCCACTACAAGGTACTGGTTGCCTTGCGAAAGGGTTGACACATGGCACTTGCATATCCATGCGCCTTTTATGTCTGCTGTATCACATATCACATCGTGTAGTGTTTCATCGAGGGAAATCCAAAACTATAATTAAGATTAAATCCCTCCAAGCGTCAACCTTGACGGAGTTCTCAAAGTTTAAGAAAGTGGTCTCAATCTTCTTTCGAACGTATGTTCTAAAATTGTCGTGAATTACCCCAAATCCCCTTGGATGCCGAGGTCACTAGAAATTCTAAACTGCCAAGCCTGCTACACGCCGATCTGGGATTGGTAGATCCGATCTCACGCTTGTACTACTTGGGAAGGTGCCTCTATTGGACGGTGGACGCGCCTTGGCAATGCAAGTGCCACGCATACAATACCTTTTTTTTCTTTTTCTTCTTTCCTCCATTTCTCCATTTCACGTGGCAACAAGCCCTAATCTGGCATTCAGTCCGATGCACCTGTCTGCGTCCGATCACTAGGATATCCGCATGGGATCTTCCCGCGACGAAGACTGCAGTAGTGCACGGAGTACATATTATATGCTATTTATGCAGGTATTGGATTATTGAATCATAATCCGAACGTGTCGAACGACACACTTTTCACCTTTATATTCATTTCCAACTGGATAATATCAATCTGCAATCATTGCATATATACAGCATAGAAATATACTTTGTACTACTCCGTATATAGTAAGTATATCAACAACATAACTACTCCGTAGGTAGAATACAATATACAATCCTGCCAACTAGTATGGAATAACCTCCTTCCTATTCCGAAACGATCGGTGGATCAACGAAGATCCCAACTCTAGGGGGATACATAACCGATGGTCATAGCTCCCGCTGACTCATTTCATGATCGCCCGCCATCTCTAAGCGACGACCGTTTAGGGAGTGTCTCCGATGCGGTCCTCTACGTAATAATATGTCGATACATATTGTTATGCGGTGACTCGTATTTGGCTCCTCAGTGCTCATGCAACGTACTGTGGTACTAAGCACGGAGTACGGAGTAGATTTAGATTAGATACGTACCTGATCTGATGATGTCTGGGTCAATTCGCCATGAACTGGATTTCCACGCTACGGAGTAATATTTTCGATGGATGACACCTTCGTCCGATACCTCGACGGTGTTTGTTCATTTTTCAGCCCCCCAAAAAAGGGAACAGCCTTTCTACACCGTAGATTGTCATAAGCGTATGACCAGCCGCACCCGAACCCGAACACTGAAAATCAGGGGGAAGAAGTAATAATAGAATGTCAATGCTAAAAAGCAAAAACGAAGACCCTGAGTTACCTATAATCGGATGCCAAACGAGGGATGATCGACAGCGATCACCTATAATATACGGAGTACATATTGACCGTCTCAAAAGAGGCAGATCCAGCGAAAGGGGGGCGTGTCGCTTCCACAGAGTCGGGCCTGTGAAAAACACCGAATAAGAAAGCAGGGCTACGGTACAATCCTACCGAAATCTGCTAGTCCCAGCTAGGTGGACGGAGTGTAGCCGGAACGAGTGTTAGGCGAGGGACGGTTAGAACCCGGTATGTCTGAACTGTATGAAACAACGACCTGTTCGTCGTGGCCGATCATAAAAATCTAGCGAGATTACCGGCGTCTTACCGGGGTACCATTTCCCGCCTCGGTACAATCCCCGTGTAGGATCGGCCGTGGGGCCATCGGGCTACACTCCTCATGTTGTCTAGGCGAACTGACCATGTCGTAGGTTCCATAATTTTGCCTCCAAAAAAAACCCCCCGAGAACATGGAGGTGATACCCGACCTATCGTCATAGTTGTAGATCCTACGGAGTTGTGCTCCTGTTTATTTCCCCTTTCGCGCCCGTTCTCAGCGCATCGGTAGATCGGGACCACTTTGACCCCCTCCGTGTCTCTGCTACGGTCGTATATAGTTACTAGTATGTATCTGGATATCTGCGATCTGCACTCCGTTCGCTCCACTGGAGCTATGAAACACCTGATCAACTTCCCTGCGCTAGACCCATCAGCCATATCCGAATGAAGCCATACACCCGCGCATAGTCTTCGGAATTGTCTGATAGTTCTTGATAGTCGCTTCCATGAACGACATATCTATTGCTTCGGTACGGAGTATTCACCTATATTGTACTGAGTACGGAGTACTCCGTACAACATACATCGATGGACGGAGTGCATACTCCATGGCCTGCAAAAGAATAAAGTTCATCTTTGATTACTTTGATTAAGGTCCTGCCTATTTCGGCATCCAACTTCCAAGTCTTCCTTTTATTTAGCTTTCTGTTTTTCCACTCTGATCCGTCGGGTTTGGTTTCGGGTCTTTGTTCGGAAGGATTCATTGTCGCAACCGTTGAGATCAGATTCCAACCCGGTGACTCAAGATTATGTGATTACTCGGGATCCACTCGCCGAGGATTGCTTACACATTACCAACCACACACCGAGCACACTACGTATGCAAGTACGGAGTATG